AATTATAACCGAGTCAACAAATCTTTAAACATCATCATTTTATTTGTCTTAATCCTATATAAATGGAGTCGGCCAAGTAAATTCTCTATTTGCAATCTATTTTATTGCATATTATTTTATGTATAATAAACATCATCCCACAAAGCCTTTTCTTTAATTCCAGTATGTTAGTGGTTCACAATTTCTGGTGAGTGTTTTTCATTATTCTTTACTCCTAATTTTACATTCACGCAGTGTGTGTTTTCATGGTCTTTTTTGACCTGAGGTATAGTTGGCAACCAAAATATTGGAACACTTTGATTCTAAAAATAAAAGAATAATAATAAATAAATAAATCAAACTAATTAAAAAGTATTAGAGGTTTCCATTTTTTCTTCATAGAAAGGAAGCAATCCATCAAATGTTTTATGACTTTTTAGAATTTAAATTCTATAATTATGATATTTGCGGTACATAGTAATTTGTTATAGAATAAAATTTGTCACACATTTATCATGAAATATATTTCACATTTTAATGCGAGGAAGTCTAATTGTTTTTTTTTTTTTTTAAACTCAATATATACATCTAAATCATTTTATAGATTATTTCTTCTTTAATGCTTTCATAAATTGGAATATTAGAGGAAATTAAAGGTATATTTTAATAAAGACTCTAAAGCCTATTTTGCTGTGCTTGTGAATGTGGTAGACAGTGAGAAAAAAAAAATCGTATTAATGAACTTTCATTTCTGGTTTCCGAATTGAACTATTTCTAAATTATTTTGATATTGAAATTTTGTATAGACTCATTAAGCTTTTTATTTTTTTTATTTTTTATATATATAAACTCATTAAGCTAACATTACTATGATTTGTACAATTTTGAACACTTTTCATCTTGGAACCAAAATAATTTTGCTCCTTAAACATTTGTTTTGTTCTTGTTAAACAATCTTATTTAACATCAACTTCTAACCTAACTAACCCAAGACCTATAGTACTGTGTAGCCCAGACCAACCCAACTAACCCTAACAACTTCTCTTACTTTTTCTCTGCAAAGGAGTGACAGTGTTCTTCGAATCCTTAGCTAAGGAGAGAGAAAGAGAGCACAAAGTAGAAGATGCCATGAACGACTACGTTGGAGTTCCCTGGTTGTCCTCCGATTCGAGCCCTAACTTTCGATGTTCTTGGTCTCGTTAAAGGTAATACTGATACATACTCGCTTCGTATATTTATGGTTTCAATCTAATTTATCAAATACACTTCTAATTATATATATGTGTATACATAATATATTCTCATGCATTACAGCTGTGAAGCTCACGGTAAAGAAGGGAGAGTTCCTAGAGTGGTTGAGAGATGGTGAGAGCCAAACCCCGGTTGTGTGTTCGCCGCCTCGATCAATGACCGTAAAACTGACCCAGTATTGGGTTTTTCAAACATGTATATATACCTTTAATTTCCTCTAATATTCCAATTTATGAGAGCATTAAAGATGAAATAATCTTTAGAGGTATATATTGAGTTTTAAATAAAAAATAAAAAATAAAACAATTAGACTTCCTCGCAATAAAATTTTGTTATTTAGTTCATTTTATTGACATAAAAAATGTGAAAAATATTTCATTTATGAGATTCATGATAAATATGTGACAAATTTTATTTTATCACAAATTATGTACTGCCAATATCATAATTATAGAATTTAAATTCATAAAAGTCATAAAATTTTTCTAGAAGAAAAAATGGAAACCTCTAATACTTTTTAATTAGTGTTTTTTTTTTTTTTTCTTTTAGAATCAAAGTGTTACATACAATATTTTGGTTGTCAACTGTACCTAAGAAAGGTCAAGAAAGACCATGAAAACACACACTGTGTGAATGTAAAATCAGGAGTAAAGAAATAATGAAAAACACTCACCAGAAATTGTGAACCACTAACATACTGGAATTAAAGAAAAGGCTTTGTGGGATAATATTTATTATCGATGAAATAATATGTAATAAAAAAGATTGTAGCGTGGCCTACTCCATTTATATAGGATTAAGGGAAAGAAAATGATGATGATTAAAGATTTATTGACTCATTTATAATTTCTGTGTGTTAATAATGTTAAATTGAATGAGAATTCGTGGGAATGAAGTTGCAAACTTTTTAAACGATGTGTGTTACTCAAAGAATCATGATCACTTGTAATTTTGAAGAACTTCTAGAGTTTAGTCTCAATCTATATAGATTTCAATCTGGTTTTGTTAGCAGTTTTTATATATAGATTCAGTGATTTCCGTTTGGGAAAGAGGAGGACGGAAGACAAATCAGACATGCTAAAGGTTAATTATGTAATTTCATTTATGAATAGAGCACCAGAGGCTTTAGACGAAGCACGAATAGCACCTTCCTTCAATTATACAAGTTCACTTCGACTTCGAGGAGCGGTTTTTTTTTTTTTTTTTCCTTGAACAAACCTCCAACAAAATAAAGATAAACTTTCAAATTATATTTAAAATCACTAAATTGATGCATTCGAATTGAAATTAAAAAATATATATAATTTAAAATTTAAATTGAAAATATTTAAACGTTTTGTTGTCAGTTGAGTTTATTATATACAGAGTATTTAATTCTGTAATTTTATTTATTAATTTTAAAAAATATAGAACCAAATGCATGATATCATACCGTAGTGACGATTTTTGTATAAGACCCACCAAATGACGAGTCCCATACCAAAATGAGAGGCAAACGTGCCTCTAACCTTAGAGCATCTCCAATGCTCTTCTATTTTGGGCTCTCAAACTCATAATTTGAGAGATGGTTAAAAAAAAAGGCTCTCCAATGGCCTTTCATTTGGCCTTTCAAAATTTGAAAATCTCAAATTTTCTCTCATCTGCAACACTTGTTTCTTCTTCTGTCGTTACTGGATTCTAAATTTTGACGGCGGATTCAACGATCTGGGCCCACTGGAGGACTCCAAGGCGCTGCTCAGCCGTGGTTCTGGGTGGTCCGATCGTGGTTCTGGGTTGTCCGATCGTGGCTCCCTCCGCCGTCGCAGTCGGTCTGGGTCGTGACATGAGCTCCGGTGAAGAAGGCGGCGCCGATGATGATCAAAAATCGCCCAGAGTTTGTTTGTTTCTGGGTCCCTCGATCGTAGCTCCCTCGACCGGCGATGATGATCAGTTTCTTTCTTTCTCTCTCATCAATCTCTTTGTTTCTGGGTCTCTGGAGTTTGTTTCCTCTGTCTATGTTTCCTCTATCCGTCTCTATCTATATTTGCAATGGAAAAGAATGGTGGTTGAAAATGGAAATTGGGAATAATTGTTGAAAAAAAAATAGTGATTGTGTCAAAAAAATAGCAACGCACCATTGGAGTAGAATTGCTAAAATATATCATTTTGATACTGTAGCACTTTTCAAAATATAGATTTGGCATGCACAAATAGCTTTATGCATTGGAGATGCTCTAATGGCCAATCTGATGAGTATTTTTGGTATCTCCAAAAAAAATGAAAGAAAATACTAGCATTTTAATAAAAATTTTATTAATATCAAATTTGCTACTACTTCTATAAGACAAAATCTATAAGAAACGGTAGTAATTTAATTAAAATAATTTTTTTAAAAAAATGATTCTTATCATTTCATTTCTTTTCTTTTATTCGTCACATCACATGATGAGTGTTTAACACTATCCTTTCATTCTCTTTTCATTTTTTTTTTTTTTTTGGTACTAAATATAGCCGTAAAATTACTTGCAGGACTAAAGGAGTGTATTACTATAAGAAACGATAGTAATTTAATTAAAATAAATTTTTTTTTAAATAATTATTATCATTTCATTTCATTTCTTTTATTCATCACATGATGAGTGTTTAACACTATCCTTTTGTTCTCTTCTTCTTCTTCTTATTTTTTTTCTTCTTTTTTTTTTTTTTTTTTTTTTTTTGGTACTAAATATAGCCGTAAAATTACTTGCAGGACTAAAGGAGTGTATTAAATGTAATTTTAACAAAAATAGATATATAATATAAGTAAACATGTAGTCAAATGCAAGAGTATTGTGACTCAATAAATAAATATATATATTATTTAGGTCCCACTATTTACAAAGAGGAATCCATTAAACTTGATAAAAAATGAGGTATTGGGAGAAGTTATTATATTTGTTACTACTACTATTATTATTATTATTATTTGTGTCTTGACAATTTAACTCCCACAATGCACTTAAGAGAGATTTTGAACCATCTACTTTTCACTATGAAATGAGAGAAAATACAATTTCACTTTGAAATATATTGTACCTCACTTTGGCGGGGAGAAGTTAATCTAGATGTATTCACCTAAATTGAAAGGTATATTCTAAAAAACAATTAGAGCCATAAAATGAGCTTAAGCAAATTGCGTGACAGGACAAAGATCATATCGGAAATGAAGAGTTAATGTAATAAAAATTAAAAGAAAATTAATAAAGATGGCTTGATCTAAGTCACACAATTTTCTAAACGGGTATTATTCTCGTGTTCTAAACACGCTCCCATTTTCACGCTATGTAAACAGTCTCACTCCCACCCCACCCCGCCACGCGCCGCGTGGGTTAGATTTGGCCGCCCCCGCTTTATTTAGGGCTCGACCATTTGCAGTGAATACCATATATTGTACTTACAAGGTGTTGTATTCACTCTTGAATGTGTATAAAGGTAATAGAAAAAAACTATTTACCTGGGAGAACAAATTAGTAACATCACAAACTTCCAAACACTCAACTATAAGGTCTAACGGGAGTGGGATTATTGAATACATAGGGGGAAGTCTATAATTTTACTTGAAGAAAAGGAAAGCAAAAAAAGTAATTTATCCAAAATAAATTTATACACTACTTGCACATATTGATAATATACGACTTATATACTCTCTTATGCATGCTTTCTTCAAGGTGAATAATTCTCTATCTTATCGCTAAATCCCTTCAACCTTTTGCAGGTATATCGTGTTTAATATTTGATTCTGACATAATTAGTGCAATACAAACAACAAAATGATACTTAAAATTGATGTGCTAAGTTATGCAAGCACTCAGAACTTAAATCAGATACAAACTGTTTTAAGAGTTCCTACAGAATCTGTAGCAAGTTAGCAACCACCACAAAAATACCGAAACCAGGGTAGAAGAGAAGCAACACCGAGTTACTGAGATGCACCTTCTTCTTTCTTCTGTTGCAAGTACCTATGATTAAGTACGCGAGGGTATTAATGCATCTCTAGGGAAAATATTTACGCATGTACACAATAGTTAAATAGTTAATTGAAACTGTTTTAAGAGTTCCAAAGGGGCAGTTTCTTGATCTCTATACACGAATTAAAAAAGTGTGCTACGAATGCAGATTTAGGTGACGTTCGAAGGTACCTGCTAATTTAGCAGTAGGAATATATCACTATATAAACATCTCAATTAACACAAGGAGATGCTCTAAAATGTCAAAGACATACATAAAAGTATAAAATTCTAAAAATGCATAAATAATAAAAGAGATTCTGTTATTTGCATTTTTCTCCATTCATACCCTTCCCATGAATCCCGGAAAACTCGCTGCAGTGCCCAAGACAGGTTGAGCATTAATAACTGGCTGCTTCCAATCTTAGCAACTCAGTCTAATTGACAAACTGACCCACTGACAGGCAAACAATTTTACTTAGTCTAACCATTGGACTGTTTGCAATCAACTTTGCTGTAATGTGAGAGCATCATATTGCCCTGGCATTGTCTCGTGCAGAAGTGAGGCTTAGTTTGGGAATTCTGGATTGGGGGCATGCCAGGGGGTGCCTACATTTGATCTATCACCGTCATTGAAAGAAGCATTTCAAAACCCAATGTGGTAGGTTCAAATCCTACAGAGCGTGATTCCGTTTTGTTAGATCGAAGTAGACTGAAATAGCTTCACTAATTTGAACAGCAATCTAAATTTGGAGAAGGCATAAATAGAAGGGTGACCGTAACCATGGAATAAAATCAGCTTGGGAAACCACGTAAACATGCAATAGAAATAACATCCTCAATTACTTACCCCTGACCCTTTGCCCAACGGGAGAGTTGATAGAGCTGCACTGACTCATTTGAGACATGGCAAGCTAAAAGTAAATAGTTGCGAGGCTGCACCATCCATGCAAATCTCATGAACAAGGCCGAATATACGCACATTGCTGCAGCACAATATAAGATACTTAGTATCTCAAGAATCTTATTAAGGTATTGTCTTTATTTTTTTTTCAAACCAAATATTATTAAAAAGTCTTAGCAAAGGTAGAAAACAACCTGCAGTCATGTTGCCAGATATCATTTCTGGGGGTTTCTGCATATCCACCAATCCCTGCCAAATCCACCAATTATAATTTGAAATAAAAAATTCATTTAGAGTGCCCAATTTGAAGTTTGTGAAATCTACAGTAAATGGCTACGCAATAAGTGAAAATATCAATTAATAGTAGTAAAGCCTACCGCAGCAACGAATCCCCAGTTGGCTACGGGACCCCAAAAGTGAGTTGTTTTGGGGCCAACTGGACTGTTCAAGAATGCTCGGAAGGAAGCCATATATTACTACTGCTGCTCAAATGCCTCTGCAACGGTTGTAAGAAAAATTCAGACACAAAAAGAAATAAATACAACATCAAATGTACAAAAGCAAATAGAAGTTTGTTAGGGCATGGAATTTAGGTTGGAAATTTTGTGATCAAAACTTAGAGTATATATATATTCATTTATTTTAGTCAGTCAAGGCAGTTAAGTTAGTACCTTGTCCAAGGAAAGATATGGAATTCAAGTGCAAGGGCTAAAAGATAATCTTACATAGGTTGTTTTGCATCCATCATCATACGCGAGTGGGTCCATAGGTTGTTGAAGATTCAGTTCTCATGGTTAAAGGAGTTCAACAATAAATTTATGCACACTGTAGGACGTTAGTGGAAAGGAGATAGAAAATCCAGTTAAGAAGTAGAGTTCGTGAGGAAAGAACTCTGTGGACGAATCAGCTGCTGGAATATCTGGTATTGGTCTTGTGTAAGTCTGAATCAAGAGTGACTGGTGATTCTTGGTATTAGATTCTGGTAACTCGGTCTGTAACCTCTTTCTGCCTGACTGTGTCCCATGACTTTTCCCATTTGGGCTTTCCATGTAAAATGTGGTATATAATATCTTTATTTACCGTTTTATTGCATACATGACAAACACCATGATGATTGATAATATTTGTGTTAGTTATAGTTTTCAATTTCAGTTTCATACTTCGATTTAAGAAATTAGTTAAAATACCATAATATTCTAGTAGGACCTATTAATCCCCCTCTAGGTCTAGATGACGGCCTAGCACAACTCAAATTAGAGTCTCAGTTTCGGTCTCATAGTTTTCTTTAAGTCTAATAAAAGAAGGCAAACTTGAGAAAGGGCGATGAAAATATATTAAATGAAGTTAAACACTTAAGAACTACGTAGATCAAAGATCTCTGTAGCTTTCTGCCGTATATAAAAGAAAAACATAGGGTAAATAGTGGGACCTCTACAAAGCCGACGTTATATATAATGAAAATGAACATGCCAGTCAACTGTTGTATTGCTTAGGCAAAAGAGACATTCCAGCCTGTGCTAAAAAAGTAACTTATTTCTTCCTCTCCATCATGTAATTAATCCAGTAGTACATTTTAGTAAGCAAAACAAGTCCTACGTAAATTTCACACCCAACAGCCCTTGAAGCTTCCGAATTTCAAATAAAGTAGTATTTATTTCACACCTTACACCACTCTACAGCTCTTGATGCCTCCATAATTATTTCTCTTGATCTTCTGATTCATCCAAAAGTACTTTTCATGATTAAGCGCATCAAATTGTTTTCAAATTTCAAGAAACTAAAAGGACGCCAAAGAAATGAAACTTTCCTTTAAACACATCCCCAAAATTGAGTGTTAGAATACCAAAGCAATCAAAGTAACATCAACATTATTCATGACAAACAAACACAAATCATAACTTGAATGAACGATCAAACTTTCAAAATAAAAGTTTGCATACATTCCTTGAGATTTGTGAATTAGATCTTCATGTTAGTAACATCTAAATCTAGAGAGAGAGAGGCGCATTAAGAAGCAAAAAATGTAGCACCAAATTGGCTTTCAGTTTCCACTCTCCAAATATATAATATAAGGTATAAGAAAGAATATGTAATGCAAGCATAATATGCTAAATCAGAAGTTCTACTCTAGAAATTTGTCCAATTTGTTTCTTCTTTTTGAGGCACATTATACAAAATCAAGTATATGTATTAACATTAGAACAAGCATGACAACAAGACAAAACTTGAAGACTAAATTTACAAAGGTGATATGGGACATTTGTAGGGACTATGTTTAAATAACAGTCTATGAGTCTAATTGTGATTTTATTATTTATTTATTTATTTGGATTGAGAGGGGGGGTGGGTGGAAGGATTTACACTAAGAATCCACCAACTGATTTTTAGTTTAGAGTTGAAGTCGTTGACTCAAATCACCTACTAGGATACTCAATCCATGGATAGAGGGGCAAACTCCTCTGACCTCTCTAATTTCTGGATTATAGCATCAGAAGCAAAAATTGAGGCACAATGCAATTCAACTAGGTCAGACTCTTGAATGTGAGCAAGCTAACCAAGAATAGGCAGTAAATGAGTTTTTCTTTGTGCTTTTCAGAGTCAAGTTGAATACTCTAACTTAGAAGCATGGGACTTACAGCGTGCACATGTAGCTGAAAATTGTTGTTTTGTTGGAGAGGATTGAACCAAATACCAATTACCAGTGGCTGACCACCACCTCAAAGAACCACTAAGCTGTTTATGGTATTTGTTTCAATCGTGTCTGAATTATTGTTTTAGTATGTAAATAAACATGTACATAGTACATAGCTTTGAAGGCGCTCAGAACCACATATTTTTAAGAAATTGCCACTCTAGCACCCGTTCTCACTCTACACTCTTCAATCTTAGCTCACCTACCCTGTGCATTCCCAAAGTCTATCTTTACTTATACAACATAAACAAGCCTCTTACACCAACAATTCTAGAATTCTTTTCTTTTCTTCAAAAAAAAAAAAAACCCACTGAACATGACTTCAAATACCAATTATTTTCTATCAATATCAATTATAAGTTGTTTATGGAGAAAAATGTCTATGATAAGTGAACATGCAACAAAAATGCATAAAACTATCAAAATATACTCAGGAAAAAAATTTAAAGAAATAAAAACAGAAATATTTCAATTTAACCCTTTAATTTTCTCAATTTTGTACCGGAGCAAAGTTTCCCCAAAAAAAAAAAATAAATAAATGAAGGCGAAAGGCCAATTTGTTGTGTGGGCAAATTACATTTGCTGTTGTGTTGCTATGCAATAAGCAAACTGCACATATACTTAGAATCATATGATATTGACGATCGATATTTATCTAACAAGTAAACAAGCAATATATATATATACATATTAACGACAAAGCAAAATTTTGCTTTCAAAAGTGATAGCAAGGGCTCGAATCGTAACAAGTAAAACGAATGATCAAATGTTGAAAGAAATCATAAACTCATGAAAAATCTACCAAAGTTATCAATAAAGGTCTGAACTAAAATTTTCATTTGCTAATTCAACCCTAATTCCGAGTCAACAGCACAAATAAGTGACAACATCAGATCCGTTCAATAATCATCATACTTGTATATCATTATTATCGTGTGTGCGTGTGTATACATATAAAAATGTGTGTATAACTGTGTGTGTATATATAGAGAAGGTCTCACCGTTAACGGAGATCGGTGCCCGGAAAAGTTTGGAGATGACTCTGATTATATTCAGAAAGGCCCAAACTTTCTACAATACGAAATGCTGCGATATTATTTTTAACCCTGGCAAAGCAATTAGAAAATTATTAATAAGTTTTATTAAAATCCGGTGAAGCTTTAAAAAGTTTATTCAATAAATATTTCTATATATTAGTTTTAAAATTTCAACTTTACCATTTAATTTTTTTTTCTAAAAACTTTAATCTATCTTCAAAATAATAGTAATTTAGTTTAAAAGGTGTTTTTTTTTTTTTTTTTTTTTTTTTTCAGAACTCATTTGAACAAAATTAACATGTTTACAATTATTTTTGTTTTGTATTTTTGTTGTAAAATTCGTGAAAACAAAATTAAATGGCAAAAGCTAACATTGTTACATTTTGTATAGTGGATGCATCTTTTTAAAAAATAAAATAAAATTTGTCCTAGTTTTACCTTTAACAGTAATGTTAACAAAGAAGTGACAATATTTATGAGTTTTTTAATTGAAATAATTTTTAAGATGCTTAAAAAGTCGAATAAATCATTTAATATATTTTTTAATTTTGTACTTGAATAATCTTGTATATTTTTTTATATATTACTTAAGTTAATGAAGTATCTCCAACAATATATTTTTTAAAAGAGACTCACAAGCTCCAATAAATAGAAAATTGAGTTAGCTAGCAGACACTATTGACCAATGATCCACAATTTCTGGTGTACATCCATTCATTGCATTGATTGAGAAGATTAGGGAGTTGGGAAATCGATCATATTAATGTAGAAGATCTTCAGTTGGATCAATCACAATGGTTCTGCACAGAGTTAGTTTATTTATTTTGGTGTCCATATTATAATTGGATCTCCAAGTAATTATGCAAACATAATTCCTTAAAAAAATATATATATATATATGCAAATAGTCAATTATTAGTTTTCTTATCATCCAACGCAAATCAATGCTCATTAGATTCTTATTTCAAAAGCATTCATGTAACTATAAACATTTTCTTTTTTGGTAAGTAGTTTGTGAATATAAAATTATTTTCCATATATTTATAGCAATTTCACAGAGACACACAAACACATACATACATATATATATATGTATAAATAAAGGTATTTTTTTTTTTTTTTTTAACAAATAAGAAGATAGCAAACATAAAATATGTCACTTGTCTCTTTATCTATGCAGCAAATGGGAAGTAGTGACTAACATTAAAAATGAAGCCTATTGAGAACTAATAACACATATGATGTCAATTTCATCATATTTATCATCTACATATGTATGTGTGTGTGTGTGTGTGTGTGTGTGTATAAAATATTTGATGACATCCACCCTCTCTCTCTATAAATAGCAACCTTCTTAAGTGAGAGAGTTCAAGCACAAGCCTTTTCTTGCTTCTTTCTATGTCCTCTGAAAAAAAATGGCTCTTCTTGATGCTGCTTCTTTGTTCAAATGTAGTGGTTTTCCTCCATTATCTCCCTTTGGTAATGAGAACAAGGTCCTTGTTGGTGGACAGGTGAGAGTGCCTTCTATTAAGAGGGGTTATCATCACCATCTCACTGTGAAATGCTTGAAAGGAGAGATCAAACCTCATACAACCCTAATTGATACTCGTAGCGATGTCAAGCTCTCGCCCTCTTCGACAACACATGACCTAACAAGGGATGACTTCCCTCTTGATTTCAAGTTTGGTGCCTCCACTTCTGCTCTTCAGGTTTCTCTCACTCCCACCATTTTGTGTGTGTGTGTGTGTGTGTGTGTGGAAACACATTCATACATCATTTATGGAATGGTTTAACTGTTTGGTGCTACAGACTGAAGGAGCTGGCAATGAAGGAGGGAGAGGAAAGAGCACTTGGGACTTCATGATTGAAGCCCACAAGGGCATGAAAGCAGTTGATTCATACAACCGTGTAAGTAGATTTGCATTAAATAAAAGGACTAAAATTATATATTTGTGTATATTCATGTGTGTGTATTTGTGAATTGTGATTCTACTTGATTCTAGTCAAGTCCTCTGATATTTGTTCTGTCTAGTATATATTATATAGCCTGCAAAAAAAAATAATAATAATAAAAAAGGAGGATTAAACTATTATATTTGTGAATATATATGTATTTGTGAATTGTGATTCTACTTGAAACTAGTCAAGTCCTTTGATATTGATAATTTCTAGTCTATATTATATAGCCTGTAGAAAGAATGAGGATTAAAATAAATAAGATAGCAATGAGGCCATGTTATAGTTGAAACATGAGTTGTAAAATGCTGGAGTACATATGTTAAGTTAATTACTTAACCATGATTTTGTGTGTTGATGCCTAAGTTGTGAATTGTGATGACATGCTGTAATCACAAATAATGCTATTGTTGTGATATGCAGCATGATGTGAAGCTGTTGAAGGCCATGGGAATGGATTCTTACAGATTCTCCATTGCTTGGCCTCGAATTTTACCAAGTATGCTCATCCTATTCTCTCTCTCTCTAAAGTGATATCCCTAACAATCTACTACCTTACACATCCACGAATATCGATCATCTTAATTTGTTATTTCAAAAGAAAAAATAATACAAAAAATTTCATGATTTTGTTGGTAATGTCGTTCTAAAATGCAGAGGGAACCATTAAAGATGGAATAAACCAAGAAGTTATAGATTTCTACAACAGGTTTATAGATGAGCTACTCAGAAATGGTAAGAACGTGTCCATTTTAATGTGGTCTGCTGATGATTATTGCGAGATTGTTTGATTTTACATTTTCTTGATTAACTTGTTTTAACTCTTCAATTTTAATAAAATTGCTTCTTATGACATTATTTCACTTCGACTAGGGGTGATAAATGGACGGGTTGGATTGGATTGGGTTTGGGTTGGGTTGAAAATGAACGGGTTAACATAGGGTTAAGATCCATATTCAACCCATTAAGAATGGGTAAAAATAGGCGGGTTGAAAACGGATAGGGTCAACTCATTATGACCCGTGGACTCATTAATTATTATTTTTAATTTTTTTATTTAAACATGATGGAAACATTTTTGATGCCTTTGCCGGTGTTGCAGAACTAGTCGAAACCGGAGCATGTCTGATGCTCCTTTTCTCTTAAAACCCCACCCACCGACCTGCTCTCTGCAATATTTATTTCTCATAATTAGATTTTTGAAAACTAAATTCAATGTGATTAGATAGATGATAATGATTTTGAAGAGAAATTTTTCACGCGTGCACATACAAAAATTTATAATTTGTGAAGATTTTTATTTGGAAGATGTAGTAAGAGACTTTTAATTTTTAATTTTTAAATTTTTTTTTATAAGGTTTTAATTTTCTTTTTTATTTGGAATTGCCACGTCAAATTCTACAGACTTGCCCATCACCATCTCGTAGCCGTCACCGCCGCTGCACCAAACAACGTCCATCACAGCCGATAGCATCTGAGCACTGCCGCCATCAGAGGCCGAAATCGCCGGTGCCACCACGGATCTCTGCTGCCGTCATCATCGATCTCATCTGCCTAGCCGAAGCCGATTTCTGCCATCGCCGCCACAGATCTCGACTCCTTGCCGCCGCCGATCTTCTCTACCGAGTTGAGCAAACAACAGAGATAAGATCTCTGCCATGGCGACTCCGTGTCGAAGCCGATCTCTGCCACCACCGATCTGATCTGCCGCCTCAATTTCCCTCAACCAAATCCCATCCTCTCCCTGCAAATCCCAACCTCTCTCCTCCTCCCTTCACCTCCTCTTCTTCACCGGATCTATCTTGGCCGAACTCAGATCACAGAAGACCGGCAATACCCACAGCCGGCCACCGTTCCTATCCACATCCAAAGCCGCAGGCTCCGGCGTCGGCCTTCAACTCTTCCCGCCGTTCACTGTTCTTTATTTTTTATTTTTTTATTTTAATTTTAATTTTTTAATTAATTATTTTTTTTTGAAGAACTTTTGAGAGAGAGAAACTTAGAGAGAGGGTATTGATGAGAGAGAAATTTTATGGGGAGAAGATTGTGAGTGAGAAAATTTTAAAGAGAGCAATGAGTTGAGTACAATATAGAATGATGTGTGTTGTGTGTGTATTATGTGATGCGTGAAATATGGGTCGAATACGGTTAAACATATTCAACCCATCTTGACCCTCAAATTAAGTGGTTAAAAATTATTCAACCCATTTTAACCCTTAATTAAATATGGTTCACCCATAACCATTAAAAAGCGCGTAGATATGGACGGATTGATAGTTCTTAACCCATATTGCCACCCCTAACTTCGACCCACCAGTAGCTCTGCAAGAATCATATAATGGCTTCTTAGACAAGAAGATTGTGTAAGCATTCTGCTTAGTTTTAATTAATTAGAAGCCAAAAGGCTCCCTAAGAAAACAGTTTTAGGTCCATATATGCATTCAGAAATGATTTCAAAGACTATGCCGAGCTTTGTTTTGAAAATTTTGGTGATCGAGTTAAGCATTGGACTACAATCAATGAACCATTTGTTTATGGTGCATATAGATTTAAGATGGATCTGCCTCAGGAAAAGAAGAATGATCCGATGGCTCCATATATTGCGACACATAACATCATATTAGCCCATGCTGCTGCTACAAAGGCCTACAGAGAGAAGTACAAGGTAAT